ATCTACCCACAAAAACACATACCTTGCATGGTAATGATTATAAAATTTGTCACACCTAACTGGTGTCATGATAAGCAGTAACTGCTCTGGGGAAGCAATACTTGACCCAGAATAGATTAGACATGGGAGAAAAATCCAGACACAGCAATGAGTATGTTCAAGGGCAGAGTGCACAGAGGGCATGTGCCTTGCAATGTAAGAACTTTGCATAAGAAACAATGCTTATAGCAATCAACGGACAACTGTAATACATTTTTTTAATAAACATACTTCTTAAGGAGTCTAAAATTTTATGTAGGTTACCAGGAAATGTCCATTAAGGCAGTGGAATACATTTTCACCAGCAACCACTTGAGAGACCTCTGAACATCCAGACTGGAAATAATAGTAAAAGCTCTATGATGGCAGGAGGGAAATAAATGTATTAGTAGTATGTCATCATACGTACAAAAGGAAAAATATAACTGTCTAAAGAAAGGCAGCAGCGGCTACAATGTAAAAATAGGTGGTCTCTCTTGTACTCCTGTGCAGGCTTATTCAGTCAATCTGTAGATATAGAACTTACCCACTTGGGTTTTGATCCAGGTATTTCTCATAGCCGTCTTGACAGAGGCTCCAGACACTCCTTCAGATTACATTGCTGATTTGCTGGTGTCCAATAGCAAGGCTGTCATCTGGGGCTGTAAGTTAGAGATAACCAGCAGTCATTATACATAACTGTCTGAGAATATGAAGATAAAAATGTTAGTTATCAGAGGGAATATTTTATTTGGGTTTAGAATCCAAGGAGACCCAGTAACAGTTGCAGATGATCCTAAAAAACACTGGTAGATACTAGGAAGGATGGCTTCCCCATTAGTTGGAGGAATGATTTCTTGACAATAATGAAGTAATAAAGTAATGCCTAAGAAGCTTGGGAGGAAATGGTCTGGATCTCAAAAGCTGGGAGAGGAGATCTGATCCAGTGTGATGTAGTAGTACAAGTTGCTAGAAGGGAAAGTCTGGGTCTCTGCCTCAATATAGCATTACTATAGTTCTCCAGAAAGCTGGACCTAAGAAAAGTGGGTGGGCCCCTCAAACCTAACTATCTAAGACAGTTCTGTGGAAGAGAATGCAAACCTCAAGCTCACGAGGAGTGGCCGCAGTGGCACCTTCCCTCAGAACTTGTGGAAGAAGCAAGGGCAGTCTCAAGATTAACACAATTAAAGAATGGTGCTTTAATTTACACAGTGGCCCTGAGAATGTTAAAGAGAGAGCCAATCGCTAGGATCCAAAGGACTGTTGACTGTCATAGCAGAGGTTGTCATAAGAGTGAATTTTGTTTATAAAAACTAGAAAAAATAACCTCACTGGTATTTTTATCTGCAAAGTATTTTAAATATAATTAATGTATCAATGTAAAACAATATAAATTATACACAATTCATTAACTTTGCGAGTACTTTTGAAAGAGTGAATGCTTTAAAACCATATCACCCAACGCTTTGATGGTTGACCAATATTATACACCCCAGATCAAGTTATATTTTAAGTTATTACATTTGTGGGAATTTTATAACAAATTAAAACAAAATTATTCATCATATAATTTGTTGTCATCTGTTATAATTTCTTCTGGGATGTTACATACTTAAATAAATAATATTTTAGATTTATTATTTCACTCTTATCTGTCATTCTATTAAGTTCAATTATTCTTTGTATAACTAGATTACAATACTCATGAATTTCATTTAAGAATAATGAGAGGAGTATACCCGCCAAATGTTTTTAGAATAACTGGAAATGAGCTGGGTAGATGTGCAGCCCACTGGGCTCAGTATCACCTCATCTCCTGAGTTTGCTGAGCCGCTAGTAGATGAGGTTGTTTCTGAAGCTTAGAAATAATTTAAAAGGAAAGGACATTTTATGTAGCATGGCTCTGTGATTCACAAGTGTATTTTAAGCAAATCCAGTTTATGCTACTCTGATCTGACCACTGGTTCTAGCTCAACTCTATAAACACCACCTCCTGCTCTGATGGAGAGCTGCCTAAACTAAGTCAAAGTTGCCCTGTTCACATGTCCACGTACACATTTCAGCTATCCAAATATCTCTTGTGATATCTCCAAACATCCTGAGGCCTAACTTGATGTACATGTTTTCTATGTGACACAAACCTATTGCACCAAAGACTCCAAACAGGTAAAGATATAGAGGCTGATATTGCAGTATCTGTGTCAGTGAACAAAAGATCATTGTTCATGTTATGAAGCTTTCTGAGGAGAGCAGTTGTTCTGGTGCTTAAAGGAAGGGAAGGATGGGTGGCTTTGAGTTTTGTTATGATTCATGAGCATGGTTGGAATGGGGAGGTCTCTGTGTGAACTTAGGGTACTATATGAACTAGGGCCGGGGTCTTTGTGTGAACTTAGGATACTATATGAACTAGGGCCAAGAAAGGGCAACCAGAACTGAGGCAAACTCTTTCATGACTTTACAACTATCACAAGTCAAAGAAAAAAATATCGTCTCAGATTCTAGAGTCTTTTGTATTTTAGATAGACAACCTGTATTTGAGTTATAATCAAGCACACAAGCATGAGTTTAAAAAAAACTAGTATAGTTTGTGAAAAATCAGTCAGAAGAATACAAAACAAGAGTTTTTAACATCTGTGAGTCAATAAATTATACAATATATACATATATGTATATGTGTACAAATATATGCCTATGCATATATTAGTTTCACACTTGGAAAATAGGACAAGGGGACTATATAAATCATCACAAGAAATATGAATAAAAACTGTGAACCATACCAAGAATTACAATATTGAGAATTTGTTTTTAAATTGGCATAGAAACAGTTTTTCACAAATCATCCTAGTTTTTTTTTTAACTTGTGTGCTTGATTATGACATTTTAGACATACTTTGGCATTTTTCCTCATTGCCAGATACCTTGTTTCCTTCTGATAGCCACTCTTTCCCTGGTAGCCTTCCTTTTCCATTTGTATCACATGCATTTCTTTACCTCTATGCTCAGCTCAAGGTATCCTCTTCCTCTATCATTGTGTATTTTTAGTTAATGTTGTGCACCAGCACTCATGTGCATGGTGCCTGTGTGTGGTGTGTGAGAGGGACAGAGAGACTGATCCAGATACAGAGAGAGACAGAGAGAAAGAGACAAAGACACACAGAGAAACACACACAAAGACAGATAGGCTAAGATATAGACAGAGAGAATAGGATAGACAGAGATAGACAGATAGACACAGAGACAGAGATAGAGACAGAGACAGAGAGACAGTGAATCCAGGTCATACATAGAAGTCCTATTTGTCTTTCTGACTTAAGCTTATTTCACTTAATATATTTTTAGTCCATTAATTTTTCCGAAAAAAAAATCGTGATTTTACTTTTCTTTTTGGCTAAGTAAAATCCCATTGCATATTTCTAGCACACTTTAATTATCTTCCACGCATTTGTGACACACTTTAGTTGCCCATTCATCTGTTGATGGCCATGCAGGCTGCTTCTATTTACTAGCTATTGTAAATAATGAAGCAACAAGCAGATCATATCTAATTTGAAGCAACTCTCTGAAAGGAAATATTATCCTTGAAGCCCAAGTCCAATAATTCAAAGAGGGTGAGCAGTAGTAGTATACACTAGCTATAGATGTTTAGCAGTCTGTTAATAAAGGTTAAAATCAGTACAAAGTTAGTGGCCCTAGCTACTGCCAATGAGTAACAAGAAGCCACCCTTCACCCTATGTGAAGTCATAACCACATATGGCAGTTCTGCTCAGAGCAAACAGCACTCTTCTCTGGGTTGATGAAGCCTGGTGAGTTTTTATTTATCTTGTCCTATGCTGTCAGTTGCAGAATTTAATTTTAAATATTTAAAAACTAGTGAGAGCTAGTTACCATGTGACTTGTGCCATTAAGTCTTTCTCTAAGAACCTCAGAACATTGATTTTAAGTTGAAAGTAGCAATGCTGAAATCCTAGAACTAGATAATCAAGCCAAGGGGAAGGGAAGGTGAGAAGGAAGGAGGGAGGGAGGGAGGGAAGAATGGAAAAAGGGAGGGAGGGAAGGAGGAAGGAAATAGTGGTGATAAAGATCTAGATTATAAAACCCAGAACTTGATGTATTTTCTCCCTTGTCTTATTTTATATAAGACAAATGTTTACCTATTCTTAGATCTGCAATATACAATCTTTTGGATTTTCAGTATTTGACTACTTTGGGACATGTGTACTGATTCTTGTAAAAATGTGTCTATTTGCATTACATCATTTTCCCTTAAACATGAGCCTTAAATAAACAGCATCCCAGTGAGCGAGGGAAGTATATGCAAGATAAACTGGGCATGTTGGCACATATCTATATTCCCAGTCCTAGGCAAGCTAAGTGGAGATATGATGAATTCAAGGGTAGTTTTTGTTCTTCAGGGCTGTGACCACTCAGATGCTGGCTACACTACTTGGCCTCAATGGATTAGAAGGACAGAAAGGATGAGGGAGCAAGGAGCGTATATAGAAGAAGTTGGAGAGGAAGGAATCGGAGATGGATTAGATCAAAATGCATTGTTTAATTGTTTAAAAATTTGCAAGGGTAAATTAAGAATAGGAAAATAAACCAAATAATGCATGAAAATGAGCAATTTCACATCTATAGCTCTCATGGGCTGATGTGAATTTGAAACCCTATTATATGTTATTTTTAAGATTCTAAGAGTTTTGCAGATTTAGGGAATTTTGAAATGTATATTTTTTTGTAGCCTTAAGAGGCTAAAAATAAAATATTTTTTAATTTCGTTATGGGTATCACACATGAAGATAAATTTAGAAAATTAAAATTATTTTAGTATTCTACAAGGCATGTTAGCAACTCTTTCTTTTGTAAATTTGATTGCTGAATTAAACAGGAGTCATAAATCTTGAATGTAGTACAGTTTGAGATGTATCGACCTTGTGAGTTGAATTATTTTAAAGTTTCTGTCTTTGGGTCTTTGCAGAAAGTGTGGATTATGGGCCAGTATTTATGCAAGAACCTGATGATGTCATTTTTCCAACGGATTCCGATGAAAAGAAGGTAGCCCTCAATTGTGAAGTTCGTGGCAACCCATCTCCTACTTACAGGTAAAAATTATGCATTGGTTTTCTTCTTTTCAAAATATTTTATTATTTTTATTAATTTATTCTTCTACATATTATATCCTGACCACAGTTTCCCCTCCCTCCCTCTGCCCCCACATTCTTCACACCTCCTTGCCTCCTCTCTCCCCATCCACTCCTCCTACATCTCCCTTCAGAGAAGGGTAAGCTTCCCAGTGTTATCAACCAAACATGCTATATTGAGGTGCATTACTATTCAGTACATATCCTCATATTAAGAATGAATGAGGGAACCTAGAAGAGTCCCAAAAGCAGGCAAAAGTGTCAGAAGCAACCTCTACTCCCTCTGTTAGGAGTCCCATAAAACACCAAGCTCCACAAGCGTAACATATATAAAGGGCCATGTAGGCCCCCTGATTGTTAGTCCAGTGTCTGTGAGCCCCTATGAACCCAGGTTGGTTGATGCTATGGATTTTCTTGTGGCTCCTTACATTCTTTCCTCCCATTCTTCAACAGAATTCCTAGACTCTGCCTAATGTTTGCCTTTGAGTCTTGTCATCTGTTTCCATTAGTTGTTGGATGAAGCCTCTCTAATGATAATTGGGTTAGGCACTAATATTTATTGACATTTGTGTTTTTGTTTTGTTTTGAAAGTATGGTTTGGTTCTACTCTAGGTCTCTGGGCCATCTGGCCTCTGGTTTCTTTTTTTTTCAGGTAGTGTCAGGGTTAGGCCCCTTCTCGTGGCATGGATCTCAAGCTGGACCAGGCTTTGTTTGGCCACTCCCACAATTTTTATGCCATTACCCCACCACAGTATGCTGGTAGGACAAATTGTAAGTCAAAGATTTTGTGGCTGGGTCGGTGTCTCAACCCCTCCACTGGATGTCTTACCTGGTTATGAGAGATGGCTGGTTCAGGCTTTGTATTCCCCATTATTAGGAGTCTTAGTTAGGGTCCCTCTCATAGAATCCTGGGAGTTTCCATTGAACTAGGTTTTTACCTTGCCCTAGAATTGCCTTCCCTCCACCCCAATTCCAGTTGTCTCTGAAGTCCAGCCAGTGCTGCATAGTGAGACCTGCCATATATGCAAGACGTATCATAATATTTCAAGTAATACAATATATTTATCTTGTAATATTTTTCTTAGATGGCTTCGGAATGGAACAGAAATCGATCTGGAAAGTGACTATCGCTACAGTCTGATAGATGGCACCTTCATCATCAGCAACCCAAGTGAACTCAGGGATTCTGGGCTGTACCAGTGCTTAGCCACCAACACGTTTGGAAGTATTCTGAGTCGAGAAGCCACACTGCAGTTTGCATGTGAGTACAATAAGATTATTTTACCTAGAGTGTAGCTGCACAAATTTAAACCTTCATTTATAAAGCTTAGGAGTGAAAATATGTTAAACTGTAAATCAGAATTAAAACTAGAGAAACCACAAATTTCTTCTGAGGGTCTATTCCACGTACCTGGTATACTTGCTAGCTCCCAAATAAACTCTACAAAGTATTCTTGAGCATTAAAATGTCATCCATGAAAGCAGATGGTTTTTACCAGACATCCTTTACCTGCTTGTTTCCTTTTCTGTGCATATTAATTGCCATCTCCTACAGTCTTCAGCACGTAATAGCACATTTCAGAACCTCTGCATTTATTAGAAACCAAGAGAATATTATGAAACAGTAATGCTTCAGATGGTGACTGTAACTCTATACTGATTTTGATTAGATGAATACCCCCCTCTCTCTTACAAACACACACACACACACACACACACACACACACACACACACTTATGCAGCCAATATGTCACTACATTTTATTCAATGGCATTATATACATGACTGGTCTTTTCTAAGCTCACATTGCCTGAAGAAGGTGAAGCTGTCTTCATTAGTGCAATCATGCCACATGATATTTACACAATGACAAGATCATCCAGTACTGCCAGTTACTGAATGTAGCCCATGGGAGAGTGAGACATTGTCTTATAGACACTCTAATGGAAATATATGTAATGTTCATCATATATACTATTAACCAAATGCATAGATCCTTGAAAAAAATGTGAAATTCCTTCATTGATGGGGAAAGCTTACACCAAATTGAAAAAAGTCTACCATGTGAGAAATTTAATATTATTTGATAGTAAGTAATCCTATTTGAATTTAAATTCTTGCGGATTACAATCAGCAAAAATTGAAAGGGTTGAAGAATCTTTGAATTAAATACATATAATTATATTCATTATATAAGTTATCAAAAATGATTTTAAGTTAATTTGAGCTGAGAAATGAAGTAATTGATTCTGCTCCCTAGCATCTTCCTTGTGTCATTTCTAAAATTAAACTGAGACAGAGACACCCTCTTATAGAAGTGAGAAGAGGAAGAAAAGACTAAACAGTTGGAAACACACTCAGTGGGAAGAGTGTTAGCAAGATCCTAGGAAAATCAAAATCCTTTTTTTTAATGTCAATTTGGCTGATTTCAGAATTATATGTTTAGAAATTTAAAAGAAACAAAAACTGTACCCTGAAAACTCTATTTTTATTTTATAGAATAATTTGAGGCCAGTAGTGTGATCATAAAAGGTTTTTGTATTCATGATAACCAAGTAGCTCATGAAATCAAACAGATAACCTCTCCTGCCACCCTTCTATTGAATAAAATGGTCGTTTTGAGATAGATACAACATGACATTTTTAAAAATGATAGCTCCAATTTGACTTTGGGTCTTTCTTGAATACTGTAATTGCATTATAATCTAAATAATCTTCATATTCTGATCTTAGTAGCTACTGAACTGTAATTAATTTTTTACAATTATATAGGGTAGCATGAGTAAATTTTAATAAGAAAATTTAGTATGGAATCAGCACATTTCTTCTTTTTTCAAAGGAAAAAGTTATTTAATTTTCCGTGTGCATGTTTAAGAACCATCAGGGCTTATAAAACTTTTGTCATGAATATAGTGTTACTTACTGCCTTGTCCACAGTTAGGATCCAGAAGGCTAAATATTCCATGTGAGACTGAGATTACAAAAATAGCTCCTTCTGTTATCAGCAGCTAACAACACCACAGGTTCTACCTTCTAAAGACACAAGCGGATGAGGACATTGATGTTGGTTCCTTTTACCAGCAATGAATTAAACGAAAGGAAGAAAGGAGGAAAATAAGGAAGGAAGAAAGGAAGGAAGGAAAGAAGGAAGGGAGGTAGAAGCTATATCTAATGTATTTAAAATTAACTGAAATTTAAATTCTTCTGAAATTTTCTATTCACTTTTGAATAACACATTTATATAATGGTTGTTCCAAATTGTTTTATTGGCATGCTTATTTGAATCTCCTCCAAATGTGATTTAACCTGGCTTGAGATATAAGATTTCTGATTATCAAGAAAGGGATACATATGCAAATACTCATGAAATGCTCTTCATATCAGATGGACATTAGCATGCTCCAGGAAGTCTCATAATCATTGTGGTTGGAGAAAACACTTCCTGAGATTCCCAGTAGGTATGTAGGTAGGTAGGTAGGCAGGTAGGTAGGTAGGTAGGTAGGTAGATAGGTAGGTAGAAGACTCTACTCCAGAAGAAACTGTCGTTCTTGATAAATTCTCATAACATTTCCTATCAGAAGCCTTAGTGCAATCTCAGCACTACCCCCACAAGAATCAGCAGCAAATTTAATCAGTCTCATAAAGGCTTAATCTATCCTGTAAAGATAGTCATGAAGTAACTCATTTAACTTAATGAGTATATATATATCATATTCTAAGTACCAGGCAACATCTTTGAGTTGCTGACTGAAGAGAGACACTTCTTCTCCTCCTAACTTGTTCCACACAGGCACATGTTAACATTCTATTCATGAAATTTTTCACACTAACTTTTTCGCAAAGCAATAGCTACAAATAAATCTCAGCCCAGTTAATGTTAATACATTTAGTTTATCATTAATAAATATCTAGCTCACAGGGCTACAGTAAAAATTAATGAGGGTGAGAAATTTATATTTTACAATGTGTTTTCAAGTTTAGAGAGGGGGTTATAAATAAACACAACACTGATATATTCTTTCTGGTAGTGACCCTTAGTGGTTATCAAGAAGATGATACTTGAAAAACCATATTTTCTTCTTGGAATCTATGTTCATCATGAGGATGATTTCTTTACATAGTGGAATGGTCTCTCCTCAGTGACAAGTGAGAACATGCCATATCAAACATTGCCACTCTGTTAGCTTAGTGACACCTGGATGAGAATTTAAATGGATAACACAAATTTGCAATATCCTAAACCCAAAGTTCATCGCAGTCTCTCCAGAGATGGTAATTTTTTCTTTGTAGAAATAATTCATGCCAGTAAGTCAAACAGAAAATGAATCAAGAGTAAAATCTCCTCATGGTGTCTCTAGCTTCAGAATATATCTTTATATGCAATCCTTGGTAAATTGATAGTTCATATCTAAATTTGAACATATTGCTTTTCAGGGCATTTAGATGACTTAGATCCAAAATATTCTATTCGTCTTCCTTGAAGCAGCTGATTAAAATAACCTCCTTAACTTTTGAGAGATTTTATGACTTGCAGACTTTATATCTAAGCCCTTTAATTTAACCTTTCATTTTTATATAAAACTCAAAAATTACCTCTCTGCGTTTTTCATAACTTTTTTCTCTAAAGTAAAATTAACCTTAGACTTTAAAACCACATTTTACTAGTTTTCAACATCTAATGAAATTATTTGAATAATCAGTAACTCCACAGTATAGCCTAAGCTTATTTCATTAGTCTATGAGGCTTTGCCCATAATAACTTTATTAATTTATTTTAATATTAATCTGAATGAAAGAATGGCATTAACCTGAAGGAGTTCAATGGTTATAAAAATATTAGATTTTGTTATAAAATAAATTAGGGCTTTTTATAATTGTATGTTCCATACACAAAGCAATCTCTCTCTCTCTCTCTCTCTCTCTC